CTCAACTGGGATAGATTCGTTAGTTGGGCGGAATTTGCAGAATTCGGTCAATAAAATTGTTCTATCCACCACTGTTAATCAAATCTGTAATGAACGCAACAATCGAGCCTTCACAGACCAACGAAGCTCTCAAACAAGGGTTTTGAACCGTACCATAGATATGGTGAAGTAGAGATTACTTTCTGTTCGAGTTAAGGAGTCAGCTTTGGGTAGAATAATCATTCTTGACTGGGATCTGCCCCAGTCCTTCATCAGGCCACCGCCGGAATCGGATTGAATGCTGGAGGCTCAGTCTCTTTGAATGGAACCACCGGATGCTCATGTTGACTAAGACAACGATAGTCTAGGGTCTTTTTCCTTTAGTCTATATTTGTCTTAGGGCAACTGGTTGATTGGGTTTGGCTTTGGGTCTGCCTTTTCTGGATATTGGGTTGGCTATGTGGTAGCCCTGGTTTTTGTCCGGGGTCAGGCCTGTACTTCTCTTTCATTAAATAAATCTATATCTGTACTATTCTAAAAGTGTAACTAATTTCTTAATATTTTTAAAAAAAAATTTCACAAAAAAGTCACATTAAATAAAAACAAATAATAATTTAATTCAAATAAATTGAATAGCCCAACAGTTTCAAAAAGCTTTAAACTCATGAATATTTTCATTAAATGTTTTAAATACTATTTTTATGATTTTTAATTCAAATGAATTGAATTAAATGGTTCAGTTACCTCATAATTCTAAAGTGATTTATCATTTTCCATTATATCTATATATAGTTATTACCTTCTAAATTAAATTATCTATAAATATATATACTATGTATAAAAGTGTAAGATGACTCTGTCTAATTTAATTTCTTAATATTTTTTAATTTTTAAAAATAAAAAATCTTAAAATTATATTTATAGAGTATAGCTAATTTCTTAACATTTTTGAATTTTTTTTTTCACAAAAAAAGTCACATTAAATTAAAAACACATAATAATTTAATTCAAATAAATTGAATAGCCCAACAATTTTAAAAAACTTTAAACTCACGAATATTTTCATTAAATGTTTTAAATACCATTTTTTATGGTTTTTAATTCAAATGAATTGAATTAAATGGTTCAGCTGCCCGATAATTCTAAAGTGATTTACCATTTTCCATTATATCTATATATAACAATTATTACCTTCTAAATTAAATTATCTATAAATATATACTATGTACAAAAGTGCAAGATGCCTCGGTATAATTTCTTAATATTTTTAACCTTTAAAAAAAAAAAAATCTTAAATTTATATTATCTATAAATATATAGTACGTATAAAAGTACAATACTTTTTTACTATTTCTATACATTTTTTGCCTTTTTTATAATAAAATATATGAAATTTGAAGAATGTATATGACATGTTATATATTTTTTCTTTTTTCACAATGTGAAATTTGAAGAGATCAGGTGACACACTACATAATTGATACTCCTATCTAAGTAATTAATTGTTGATTGCCCATCCCGATAATGATTACACACTACATAATTTATATTTAAAAAAATTAGTTAGTTTAATATGTCAATTCATATCTTGACATCAATTTTGGTAATTCTAAATAAATTATCTACACATACAAATATACATATAAAAGTGCCAAGGTTATTATTATTATTATTATTTCTATTTCTATATATTTTGACCTTTTTCTAAATACTGAATAAGGTATTTGATATTCTGTATGTTATTTTTCTCAAATAAAAAGTCTCATTAATTAAAACACATAATAACATAATTCAAATAAATTGAGTAGCCCATCAATTTCAAAAGTTTTAAACTCCCAAATATTTTCATTAAATGTTTTAAATACTATTTTTATGGTTTTTAATTCAAAAAAATTGAATTAAATGGTTCAGCTACCCGAGAATTCTAAAGTGACTTACCATTTTCTATTATATCTATATATAACATGCATGCAAGCGTGCAAATGCATCCACATATTTTTTTAATTTTATTTTTTTTATGGAAGGTGCTTCAATCAAAGTGGATAAGTTGAAAAGTGATTACTTGGCTCAACTCTTTATTTGATTCTCATTTTGCAAATTCAATTTTAAAATATGAAATGAAACTTGATTAATAAATTAATAATAGTAGTTTGACATACCCACTTTCTCTTGTTTTTGTGTCTTTTGGATGAATTAATAGCGGTATGTTGGTTTTAATTGACATCATTTTAATTAACATTATCCGTGTGCCTTATTCTTTATTATTATGTTTCTCTTTGTTCCATGAGTGTTACCATAGAACCATGTTTAATTTGTTTTATTGTAAATTATTTTGAATCTTTTCCTTTGTTTTGTGTTTTTTTTTTTTTGTTTTTTTATTATTATTTTTTGTATTTATTTAAAATTCAAGGAGAAATAAGCTTGAATTGATTTCCGATTCAACTATATAGTAATTCTACATATATATGTAAGAATAAATAAAAAATTGAAAATTTGATTGGTTTGGTTGGTTAAATTGAAAATTTTATATATTAAAAATTGTAATACAAACTTTTACTTTAGAGGTTCAGGCATTTCAAATAACAGTGTTAGATTGTTTCAAACCTTTGATATATTTTTTTCAGACCTATTAAGAATTCATTTATAACTAATTCTAAGACCAAATGCGTGAAGCTTTGTAATGGTAAATTGTGTGCTTTACTAGGATGCAACAAACGTTTAAAAGGGATGAGTGATGAACCATTGAGGTAAGATTTTTTCTTGTATATGTTCCTAATCTTGAAATTTTGTGCATGGTGTAACTCATTCCAAAAATATTTAATTAACACTTTTCAATGGTTCTTACAATGATTTCATTCAAAATACTAGAAGGTTGACAATAGTGGAATAAATCAGTCTAGTTAATTTCTCAACATTTTTGAATTTTTTTTTTTTTCACAAAAAGGTCACATTAAATAAAAAAACACATAATAATTTAGTTCAAATAAATTGAATAGCCCAACAGTTTCAAAAAGCTTTAAACTCACGAATATTTTCATTAAATGTTTTAAATACTATTTTTATGATTTTTAATTCAAATGAATTGAATTAAATGGTTCAGCTACCCGATAATTCTAAAGTGACTTACCATTTTCCATTATATCTATATATAATAGTTATTACCTTCTAAATTAAATTATCTATAAATATATATATTGCGTATAAAAGTGCAAGATGACTCTGTCTAATTTAATTTCTTAATATTTTTTAATTTTTTAAAAATAAAAAATCTTAAAATTATATTTATAGAGTGTAGCTAATTTCTTAACAATTTTGAATTTTTTTTTTTTCACAAAAAAAGTCACATTAAATAAAAACACATAATAATTTAATTCAAATAAATTGAATAGCCCAACAATTTTAAAAAGCTTTAAACTCACGAATATTTTCATTAAATGTTTTAAATACTATTTTTATGGTTTTTAATTCAAATGAATTGAATTAAATGGTTCAGCTGCTCGATAATTCTAAAGTGATTTACCATTTTCCATTATATTTATATATAACTTTTATTACCTTCTAAACTAAATTATCTATAAATATATACTATATATAAAAGTGCAAGATGCCTTTGTATAATTTATTAATATTTTAAAACCTTTTAAAAATAAAAAATCTTCAAATTATATTATCTATAAATATATACTACGTATAAAAGTACAATACTTTTTTCTTTTTTTTTTTTACTATTTTTATACATTTCCCACCTTTTTTTATAATAAAATATATGAAATTTGAAAAATGTATCTGACATGTTATATATTTTTTTCCTTTTTTCACGATGTGAAATTTGAAGAGATTAGGCTAAAGTGACCTTCCTAATACGTGCAATATTTCAGTTTTTAAGACACACTACATAATTGATACTCCCATCTAAGTAATTAATTATTGATTGCCCATCCCAATTCCAATTATATTTAAAAAAATTAGTTAGTTTAATATATCAATTCATATCCTGACATCAATTTCTCCATCACATCAAGAATTACCTTCTAAATAAATTATCTACACATATACATATACATATAAAAGTGCCAAGGTTATTATTATTATTATTTCTATTTCTATATATTTTCACCTTTTTCTAAATAATGAATAAGGTAATTGATATTCCGTAAGTTATTTTTCTCAAATAAAAAGTCTCATTAATTAAAACACATAATAATATAATTCAAATAAATTGAGTAGCTTCAAAAGTTTTAAACTCACAAATATTTTCATTAAAGGTTTTAAATACTATTTTTATGGTTTTTAATTCAAATAAATTGAATTAAATGGTTCAGCTACCCGAGAATTCTAAAGTGACTTACCATTTTCTATTATATCTATATCTAACATGCATTCAAACGTGCAAATGCATCCACATATTTCAACATTTTTATTTGTATAGCCTCTTATTGTTAATTTCTGTAAAATTTGTGTTTTTACTTAATCATTTTCTGCGTGATACACTGTTATCATTTCCTTCATAAAATTGTTGTAGTTTTTTTAATTTTTATTTTTTTTATGAAAGGTGCTTCAATCAAAGTGGATAAGGTGAAAGGTGATTACTTCGCTCAACTATTTATTTGATTCTCATTTTGCAAATCCAATTTTAAAATATGAAATGAAACTTGACTAATAAATTAATAATAGTAGTTTGACATACCCACTTTCTCTTGTTTTTGTGTATTTTGAATTAATCAATAGCAATATGTTGGTTTTAATTGACATCATTTTAATTAATATTATTTGTGTGCCTTATTCTTTATTTCTCTTTATTATAGGATAAATTAAACTATAATTTTCATATATTAAGTTAAATGTGAATAATCACGTGCATAACACGTGTCTTTTCCTACTAAATAAAAAAGTATGTAACAATGTGATGGTCATCATCAGATTGAGACCAAGCATCAACGGCCAGTATTGAACTATGGTCGCCACATACACAGACAGGTGTACAGATTGCCAAAATAACGAGTTTTAATGCAACTATTGTCTGTTGTTTCTTTTCACTTCACAAAATAAGCGCCAAAGAATTTGTACTTGATACCCCAATCTCAATCTCAATCCCATTATCGACTCCAACAAATTTCAGAGCCACATACCCTTTCTCACCACTTTCAATTACCTAACATTTAGGTTTCAATTCGAGCACTTTGGAGTCTTATTTGCAATTTACAGGTCAGGTCAGCCATCTCGTAACTGTTATTTCCTCTCTCTATATGTGTGTTTGTATATATATATATATACACACACGTGTGTGTATGTGTATTTTATCTGTTATGATTTCCCCCCTAGAAATCGATTATTCTCCCATGAATTTGATGGTTTCTAATGGTGTTTGCCAAATATGTTTCATTATTCTACTTCTCTGATATATGTATATGATGCGTAGAATTGAGCAATTAGTTGACTCCAAGTGGTTTAGACATAAGTTTCAATTGAGTTGTATTCTTTTGAGTCTCAACTCACAAAAAAGATCTCCCAACTTGAAGCTAATTATGGGATTTGTGGTTTATTAGCATGCTGAATGGGATCCTGTAGTTGCAACCCCTTTTTTTAGAGATAAATTGTTATAACTTATAAGAACATCGTCATTCATAATTTGTTATGTGCAAGAGTGCATCACATTCTGTTTTCTTCATGTGCTGTTTTAACTTTCTAATTGTTCAATTTTTTTTTAACAATTCTCTTATTTTAGAAAAAGAAAAATGATACATCCTCCAAATCTGGAAGATGCCGACTGGGTGTGTTGTGTGAGTGGGGGTGTGAGCCCCCACCACATGACATCGCCTAACATCATGTGGTGAGGCTCACACTCTCACTCACCCGTCCCATATTCGGCATCCTCCGGATTCGGAGAATGAATAGCAAAAATAGTCATATAAGACTGGGGGCTTCACTTTCTGATTTTTCATTTACAAAACATTAAGCTATAAAGTACATGGAACCCTTGTTATCATTTCCAAGAAAAATCAAATCTAATTAACAATAATTTCTCCAGTTCTCCTTACTCTTAGTCTTCTGTGATAATATATACATCTTTTCAAGGTTTGTGCAATCCACTTGAAAACCCACCCGAGTATTGGAATCATAGGGTTATTATTACTTTATGATCATATTTAGACTCTCTTAAATCCTTGCACTGTTAGTCATTGTTTTTTTTTTTTTCACAGGGTTAAGGTGGCATTAGAACAATCATGGATCGGCTCAAGAAATCTGCACGGCTCATGATAGTTTCGGATCTTGACCATACAATGGTGTGTGTTATCGTTTGTTACGGTACTGGCTTCCTTCCATTTTCTATGCGGCTTGAGTTATTGAAAAAGATGATTTGCAGGTTGACCATCATGATACCGAGAGTCTATCTTTGCTCAGGTTTAATGCCTTGTGGGAAGCCAATTATCGTCATGATTCTCTGCTAGTGTTCTCAACTGGAAGATCACCTACACTATACAAGCAGCTGAGGAAAGAAAAACCCATGCTAACCCCAGATATAACCATAATGTCTGTGGGAACTGAGATAACATATGGTAATTCTATGGTGCCTGATGATGGTTGGATTGAATATCTAAATCAGAAATGGGACAGGAACATAGTCAGAGAGGAAACAAGCAAATTTTCAGAACTTACTCTTCAGGTATAGTTTGTAGATAATAGAATTTGTTTCTTGATGCTAATCTCTGGACAGACGATGGGCATTTGGTTCAATATATCATATTCTATTAATCTATTGTTTGGAATTAATTTAGAGGAATTGAGATGATACGCCATTCAAAATATTGGCTTATGCATCATGTACCATCGTATAATTGAAATTCATGTGGTTATGCAGTCAGAAACGGAGCAACGACAGCACAAGGTTAGCTTCTACGTGCAGAAAGACAAGGCTCTGGAAGTGATGAAGGATCTTTCTGAGCAATTGGAAAAACGCGGGGTAATATCAAGCTATTGTACTCAGTATCTTATATGTCAATTCTCAACACTATTTAGCATCATTTGAAAATTGTTTGTTCTTCTTTTTTTTTTTTTCTCCCTCCCTCTTATTTGTCAATTTTGCTCAAATAAATGTAGATTTTTATTACATCATATTTTTATTTGGAAGATTCTTTTCTCTCTTTTCATTCAGCTTTTTACTTTTTTGTTGGTCAGTTGGATGTCAAAATAATTTACAGCGGAGGGATGGATTTGGATATATTACCGCAAGGTGCTGGCAAAGGGCAAGCTCTTGCTTATCTGCTCAAAAAGTTTAAGGCTGAGGGAAAATTACCTGTTAATACTCTTGCTTGTGGCGACTCAGGAAATGATGCTGAACTATTCAGCATTCCAGAAGTGTATGGTGTCATGGTTGGTGGCTAGTCTAATTCGTCATCAAAATCTTGCTTTATCATCGGACTGAGAATTTCTGAATTTGTATTTTAACTGTTCTCAATTTGAACAATGCAGGTAAGCAATGCTCAGGAAGAATTGTTGCAGTGGTATGCTGAAAATGCTAAACATAACACTAAAATAATCCATGCAACTGAGAGGTGTGCAGCAGGCATCATACAAGCCATTGGTCATTTTAACCTGGGTCCAAGCACGTCCCTTAGAGATATGGACTTCTTGGAATCCAACTTGGAAAACCTCAGTCAGGGTCATGAAATAGTGAAATTCTACTTGTTTTATGAAAGGTGGCGGCGTGGTGAAGTTGAGAATTCTGAGCTGTATCTGGCGAATCTGAAAGCAGTTTGTGTACGTTTTTCTATCCTTTTTCACTTTCAAATTGTATTACAAGCATATACTCCGCAGTATATACATCCTTGGATCTTCATTCTCAATATTAATTCATGTTTATTGGATTATTAGTAACAGTTTTGGTAGTTGGTAGTAAATGGAAAATAAAACACAGTTGCCGTTCAAAAATTTATTAGTTTTGACCATATATGATGCCTTTTGCCTATGCAAAATTTAGCTCCAACTCCTACCTGGGTGTACAAATTGGAGAGTTGAGGATGTCAACTAGGCTATCATGTGTGGAGCAGGAACTGGAGCACAGATTTTTATAATGCATAAGGTTGAGAGCATCTCTAGACCGGCGACATGCTTACATTTTGAAAGCATATATAGGAATGGAAATGGGGCAGAGACCCCCTCCCCATCCCTGCCCCTTTTATAGAAAAATTCCCTGTTCCCGTCCTGTCCGTTTAGAAGAAGAAGCTCCCATGCCCACCCAAACCTGTTGTCCCTCATCCCATCACCGCCCTGCGGCTGGTGTATATATATTTTTAATTGGGTGGATATTATTATAATGTTATTTGATATTCCCTCCAACCCATATATTAGTAGTCCTTTTTTTCTATTTTTAGTTGTCCCATAATAGTTGTCCTATTTAAAAAATTAATGTACTACATTCCCAATTTACCCTCATTACATTGAAAGGATAAACACCATTATGGGCCCCACCAATTCAAGATAGAGGGTAAATTTGGAAATTCATTCATGGCAATGCAATAAAAAAATATTAGAAGTCAATCTCTTAAAAATCTAGAATTTCAAAAGTGGACATCTAAAGTGGGACTATATTGTAATAGACTAATAGCATGTAATATTTGATGAATAATTAGCAAAAAACAAAATTAAGGATCTAGAATTATATATATGTATATTTTTTATAATAAAATTAAAAATAAATGATATTATTGTATATTTAATACATAAATGTGGCGGTACTAGGTGGGAGAGCCCTTCCCCAACTCCGTCCTGTGCGGCGGCTTTTTCTTTCTCTACCCCATCCCCATCTAAGCTCTTCTAGAACCTGTCCCATTAGCAAGGCAGGGCGGGCATATGCCTGTGTATTGGTACTTTAAGAAATGCTTAAAAGTACACATATTTTAGATTGTAATAATCGTAACACTGTAATGTAGTGCCATCAAAATGCAAAAATGAACCTGAAGCCCAGTTTTCTAGTATTTTGGAGTGCCTATTATTTTTAGATAATCCATCAAATTCATGGTCAAATCTGCAATGTTGGAATTCAAATTCATGGAAATCCTTGGATCTTGCTGAGTTGCCTAATTCACAATTTGAGGGGAAATCTACCTCTTATGTGCATTTGATAATCCATGTTGTACATCTGCTTACCCATCTCCTTTTTACTGCAAAATGTGAATAGATATGAGAAGAATTAAGAACATGGAAGAGTATGCTTCATGAACCTTTGTAAATATGAACAAATATAGACTGAGTTGCCTCTTTATAATTGAAATAATTAAATAATTACGTAAAATTCTGTTATGAGTTTCATATGTGGTTAAGATATTTCAGTTCCTGTATATGCATACAGTTTGACATAAAAATAATTTTCTTGGAGTTACATTGTTGATGAGTTACCTTGACAATGTGGTTTAAAATTTAGAATTGGTTATGAAATCTCAAGTGACTTCAGACTTGTTATAGTCGAATTTTTTTTTTTTTTTCTAGATTAAATGCTACTTTTAAGTCATGCTTTTGCTTTTTCACTGTTACTCTCTACTTTCTGCCATATTGGCTTTTCACTATTACTCTCTACTTCTGCCATATTGGCCTTTGCTTGGACATGACTTTTGGTTAATCAAGTCCCATTTATATATATATATATATATTTTTCACTTATTATTTTTCTCTTGCAGTACCCCACTTGTGTTTTTGTCCACCCGTCTGGTTTTGAGCAATCTCTCCGTGACTGCATTGATGCATTAAGAAAGTGCTGCGGAGATAAACGAGGGAATATTTTTCGGGTTTGGGTGGATCAGGTTTTACCGGCACAGATAGGTCCGGGCACATGCCTAGTGAAGTTCACCAAGTGGGAGCTATCTGGTGAGACATTCTTTTTCCCTAACTAGGTGTCATTTTGCTTTGCCTTTTTTTTTTTTTTTTTCTCGGTTGGTAAAATAAGTTTTATTAACCAAATTAATAGAGCATAAGCAAACTAGAACCACTCATAACCCAAGTGGATAGGTCACAACCATAAGCATTGATATACTTGTATACTAGTGTTATCATTTTCTGCATTGATGGTCTAATAATGTTGGAATCTTATGGTGCTCTCTCACAATTTGCTGACCCTTACAGGTGAAGAGCGGCATGGTAGCATAACCACAGTTGTATTAAGTTCAAAGGTAAAATATGGAATTGTTGTGTTGAAGCATCCAGCTAAAGTTGTGGTTAACCTTCTTATTAGTTCTTAATATGTTGGTTCAATTTATTGGTTAATTTAGGATGCGAATTCTTCAAAAGGGTTCACTTGGGCGCATGTGCATCAGACGTGGTTGGATGGATCAGGAGCAAAAGATCATACAACCTGGCTTTTCTAACTACAATCAACTCTGAAGATCCAGTAACCCGTAATTTTTCTTCTTTCAAAATAAAATGTAAGCCACAGCATCACAATATGTTGTTTTGATAACTCATTCACCATCAATTCTGTGAAGGTTGCTTGTTCATTCATTTTGTTATGAAGTAGAAAATTCATGGTGATTCCATGTATTTTCTTTGACATGTGAACTTGTATTCCCGATAGAGAGCTAAAAGGGATGTATTTGACCAAAGGGCCTTTGGCCCAATGGTATAACCTCCTCATCTTTAAAGAAGAGGGGAGGGGTTCGAGTCTCGGCGTGGGCAAAAATGTGTGTGTGTGTGTTTGCTTTACCATTCAAAAAAAAAAAAAAGGGGGATGTATTTGGAAATACATCGTTTGCAAAGAAATGCAATATATCATGTTTGGATGGGGATTAACATATACAATTAAGAAAATGGAAATGGTTGCCTCCCTACATGGTTTTTTTATTATTCATTTTATTTCTTTGAGGACACGAACACTTACATTCATTTTGTGAGAGGCAGAGTAGATACAACCAGACCATAAACCTTGGTTTTGGGCTTTATTACTTATGAGCCAACTAAAGCAGGGCCAAATTTTCTCGTAGGCCTACCTCCGCATAAAATTTGGACCTTAGTTCAATTACAAAAGGAAGTATTCGGCCCGGGCCCATAAAAACGAATTATATAGGCTTTTCTTCAAAAGCATTAGATTGTGTTACTGAATCTCATTTACAACATAAATCCCACCAATCTTAAAATGGTTAGGGGGATCCTTTGCCGTATCTCATTGAAAAATTGTATATAGTACTCCCTCTGTCCTCAAAAAAAAAATGTCATACTTTCTTTTTTGGTCCGTCCCAAAATAATTGTAATTTTCTTTTTTCAAACAATATATTTTACATCTTTCCGTATATGTCTTTAAAGTTTAAAATTTCAAAGTTGAATATTCAAAACTTAAAAGGACAAATTAGTAACTTTCTATTGGAGACCAGGCATGTTTCACATGTCCCCTTAAAAATTCATACTCCCCAAAAACGACATCTAAATTGGGACAGAGGAAATATATATTTACATTTTTATGTTCATATTATTTAGTCCATTTATTTATCTTCAATAAACAATACATTTTAAATTAGGATTTTTCCGAGTGATATTTGATTTGATAAAGTAATACGAGTAATAGTGAAAAGATATTTTTAAGCTAGTCTGAGATGAAATTATTATATACTCATGTAAATATTTGGACGATAAATATGATTATGTGGAAAGGAATATATTATGTGGTTGGTTGGCGAAGTTTGGGCATCAATTAAACAAAGCAGTGGTGAGAATTAGGTCAGAGTTTCAGTTAATTGACGCGTGTGTGGGAGACCGATATTAAAACCAAGCAAATTACAAACGGCCTTATCGTCCTATCCACTCCACCACCCTCCTCCCCCTTCAAAATTCAAAAGCAACCTGTCCCCATATCTCTCTCTCTATATATTATACTAATATATATATATATATATATATATATCTATCTTCCCCTCTTTCTCTCTCTCTCTTTGAATAAAATTGGTGGGTATTCATAGATCTGGATCTTGACTCACTCTCCACTTAGGTTCTTCACATCAGATGGCTCTTCGAATCGTCTATGGTCTGGTCTTCCTCTCTCTCTCCTGCGCTTGTTTCAAATTCCTCCACCTCGTCCTCTGCCCCGTCTTCTACCTCACTTCCTGACACCACCCATTACAACCTAACCTCCGGTGAATCTCCTTTATTGCTGGTTTCCAACCCCTTTTTGCAGCTCCTTCCTTCCGGCGCTGGTTTCCCGGCAAAACTATCTTGAATTGGGTCAGTCAGATTTACTCTTATTTTGATATAATATTTATATATATATATATATATATATATTTATACATACATAGACATACACATGTATCTTTTGGTGTTGTATGTATCATGGGGCGTTGTTTTAGCGGCAAGCTAGACCGTTGGATCAAAATGTTGTATTTGATGTGATGATGCAATGTATTACTCTTACTTTGATTTAATGCAATGGACTTCATGTTAGATGTTGGAGATTGACTCATTTTAGGCTTTGTTTGGTTTGAATGAATTGCTTTATCTTCAATCATTTAAAGGATTATAATATAAATTCAGTGTGAATAATTTAGGTTTTAACTTGGGAATTTCACAAGAACAATAAATCTAACTTTGTAAAATTATTTTTATTTTTATTTTTATTTTAAGTTCTAAACCTCTCAATGTTCCATAATCATTTCCCAAACAAGTGGTGCATGCTCTAGTTGAGGACTTGTTTTACATGATTCTAGAGTTTACCGGGATTGGATTGGATTGGTTTGAGTGGGATACACATAAAATCAAAATCTTAAATTTAATTGATGGAGGAGTTTTAGATTGGATCCAATTCGTACTTATCAAAAAAAAGATTGGATCCAATTCATGAAAATTTACCGATTGGCCTTTTACAAAAGCCCAATAATTTTTTTATTTTTTATTTTTTATTTTTTATTTAGCTGAGATTGAGATGAAATTATCATTATAACTTCTTGATAAATATATAGTCTTATTCATTATTCATTCTTCAGCTCATCTGGTAAAGCAAATAAAAGGAGATTTGTTATACAACATTGAATAATGTAAATAACATTTGACTAAAGCAGACCAATTTAATCAATGAAAAGAGCATCTTCACCCGAATCTTCAAATTTCAAACCATTTGTCATATGGTATTTTGATAATCTATATGTCAAATTTATTAATTTATTAATATTTAAAATTTGGGGTAGAGATGCTTAATATGCTAAATTTGAATTGTTTTGTGAAATTCATATATTAAAATAATGAGAAAATTTTATTTGGCATAATTTTTTTGATATGTCAAATTTGACATGTGCCTTATATGCCAAATGCCAAGTAGGCATTTAAGGTATTAGGTGTTTTGGGTTTTTCATGCCAAAAGTAGCCGTTGGATTGGATTTTTGAGATCCAAATGGTGAAGATCGGTTTGGATTACTTATTTATGAATCTGCCACCCAATCGAAGGACTAAAACATCAACTCAAATTGGATTTGATTAAATTCACGTATCAAATAAACATCACTATATGCTCTGGCAGAATATGGCGTTTCAATTGGCATGTTTAAATCATGGGCTTGTCGAGACTACTTGAGCAGGTTAGTTCGGGCTTTTACATACACATTGGGTTTAGGTTTTATGAGCTGGGCTTCAGCTGGAGCCCAATTGTGCAAGGCAAAATGGATTGATATGTCTACAAAGGTATCTTGTTTTTTATTTTTTAGAGCACATGCATAGTATAATTTAAGTCAGAAATACGATTCGAAACTGAAACATTAAGGACTATAGTTTTGTTCTTATGGAGTAAATGTTTTTATGATTTATGCTAGGAAATGTTACTGAGGGCAAGTCCACTCATCATAACTCCACCTTTTTTTTTTTCTTTTTAATGCTATCTTGAATATTTATTCCCTAAACTGAGACAATCAAATCTCCTCAATTGTCCACTTAAAAAGAGATCATGATACTGTTTTCGTCCTAAAATAAGTGTCCATTTTGTAAATTGTGTATTTTGGGACCGAAAAAGTATTGTCTACCATGAGTCATGACTTATAATACACCCACACATGTATGTATAGACACGTGTAATTTCGGATGAAAATCATCTCCAGTGAAATAATGTGTTATTTACTCCATTTTGAAATGAGTGGTTCAAAAATGGCCACGTCATCCATGTTTGGATGCATAGTATAAAATATTGAGTTGCACAGTAGGAAAATATTAGGATGTACCTTACGAAAATGTTAGAATATACTTTTACTTACAAAAATGGAAGAAACGGACCACTGTGCAATTGGAGGTAATCCTTGTTGGTGTAATTTCTCATAATTTAGGTGTCAAGTAACCAAGTTAGCTATTTGTTCAGTTATACCGCCTAAATAATTTTTCCTTACATGCATACAATCTAGAGAAGTTTTTGTAATTTAGTGGATGAACTCTACCTAATTGTTACACTTTTATCAATTTAAATAATTATATACCCAAATATAATAACATAATGCAATTGTCATAGCTCACAGAGCCTTAGAGCAGATGTCACGTTCCATGCCAAATTGTTATCAGGAATAAATTTCAGAATAATTTTTCAACCAAATTAATAGTATAAGGATTATTTTTGCAATTTTACACCTTATATAATTTTTTTTTTTTTTTGACACCTTATATACTTAAACATTCAAACATATTAGCATGATGCAATTTGTCAAAAGCCCATACTACTACAATTGTACATATATGTTTATATACATCTATAATTTTATACATGTATGTGTGCATGCGCATCCAAAGTCTTTGGTCTACCCAAAAAGAAAAAAGAGTTAGGGCCTGTTTGGTAGCTGTTTTGTTTTGGTATTTTTGTTGCAGGGCTTCATTTCAGGCCCAAAAACATGTTTGGTAGCTATTGTTTTGTTTTAAACAGTGCTAAAACATTTTCAAAATTTGGGCCCAAAAGTGAAACACCAAAATGGTGTTTTTTGGTGTTTCAATACTGTTGGCCCAACAAAACCACTGTAGCGGAGGAAGTAAGTTACAATTGAAACTGTAGCGGAGGAAGTAAAACTTTACAACATTTGGCCCGACTACCATCTCTCTCCTCTGAAACCCTAGACGGTGATTTGGGAGGCGATGAAAACGACGCGATATTGACTGTAAGAGCAGCAGCCCGAGATCTGCCTCTGCAAGGCAAGGTATGCGTTCTTCCCCATTTTTTTCTTCAATGCGCTTGCCGATAACGGTTATTAGATATATATATATATATAGAGAGAGAAAGAAGGGCTTCGATCTAGATAGAAAAACAGATATATATATATATATATATATATATATATAGAGAGAGAGAGAGAGAGAGAGAGAGAGAGATTTGAAAATGGCGGAGAAACCCCAACCAGCCCGTGTCTTGTATTGCGGGGTGTGCGGTTTACCTGCAGAGTATTGTGAGTTCGGGCCTGATTTTGAATGTACACGACCTTTACCTTGATCTTCCCAAAGGTCATCCACAACCTCCTAAACCTTAATCATAAATCTGACACAATTATTCACACACACACACACACACACACACACACACACATATATGTATGTATCTTGATATATAAAATAATTTGTATACGTTGGTTTTCTATTCATGTTTCAGAGGCAAATTCAAAGGAAGCTGATAAAGTCTCAGACCAACTCAAGTCCACTTCAATCTCTGAGGGTAAAGCCCCTTCTGGTAATTTAATTTATGAGTGTCGAACTTTTTCTTATATATGAATATGAATTCATATGTTATGAATTGTCTTTAATCTTGAATACCTTATATAAACATATGCAACAAATGTAATATATGATAAAAATGCCAGTCAAGAGTGTTAGGTTCTACTTGTGCATGAGACGCCAACACTTCAACTAAAGATTCCAAAAATAGAAAAAGGAACAATTAGATGTGGAATGCAAATGACACATTTAAAGATTTAGGCTAGAAAACAATAAAAGATTCTCTGATGTGTATAGTAGTCCGTTTGGGCTATTAAAAAAAAAATGGTTATTGAGATTTTTGCATAATTGGTCGTAAAAGAAGAGAGTAAATACATATTTGTATAAATGACTGTTGTGAACTTTGTTTTTTTTTTTTCAAACTTTTATTTTTCCTCTCTCCAATTTGGCTTGGTTGTTTAATTTCATAATCTGGCTTATCCTTTTAAATTTCTTCTTTATGTGTATGCATTACATGTATATTGTGCCCCCTAGGTTCTTTTTTTTTTTTTTGGATTCTTTATGTACAAAAACAACGGTCTTAATATGTAAATGGAGTGGAAAAATCAGAACTTTTATTTAGGAAGATGCCCCATTTTGGTTAGGGCATTACAACATTTACATGAATATAACACAAGTTTGAAATGCTATGTTAATCTTGTTATATATTTGTTTTGGAACTATTTTTTGTATGCTTTGGTGGATGAGCTGACTTTCCCTGTGTAGTCTATTTTAACATGAATCTTCATCTGGGATTATATATCTGCGGCTGGAAGTTTTGGACTTGTCACCTGATCTATAATGAAGTTGACTTTGTGTATATATCAATATATATGTTGGTGATGTTGCAATTCTAGGCTTGCTATCAAATCGAGGTTTTATGGTTGAAGGAGGCTCCACTCTTCTGCCTCCAGTTTCAGATGCTATATCTTTGTTCTAGCTTTTGGAGTAGGGTAATTGTTTTTTTGCTGTCTCGAGAACGTGTAGAATTTGTTTTTCGGGATGATTAGAAAGCAGAGAGCAATTAGGAAGTGTTGTTTCATTTAATTCACACCAATACCCTAGGTGACCATGCTGTGTTATGTAGGCTTGACCTTCTAATGTGAATGGGATTGATATGATTCTTAGATGCTTAAAATGTTTGCCACTGGGTCAAGGCTTTAAGATCCACATCTGGCTGGACTATAAGGTTGCAGATTAGATATTTGTTGATGGCTTGATGCCTCAGTCGACTTCCCGTTATGAATCGTTATAATTTTGCTTTTAGTCTAATTCCGCATCCCATTTTTTTTTTTTTTGATAAGTCTAATTCCGCATTCTTAAAATACATCTAAGAATAATCTAGTTATATGTTGTAAAGTCAGACTCTGATAGTTCCTTCTAATTCTTCTTTCTTAGTTGTACTCCCAGTTAAGTTAATTTGCCGAGTTGCCCCCCTTTTTTTTAGACAATTTGTGGCTGGTCAATTTAATTAGATTACAATAATGTTTGCCCTGGTCTTGAAATGTCTGTGCACAAACTGGGGCTTCAAATACAACAGTTCAATATTAAATCATGAATGCTTGGTTTTTACTTACTTTGTTATATTTACTCACATATATTAAAACAATGTATGTAGAGCCCGCTGCCTACTTTTGTGTGTCTTTTCTTAGAATTTGATTCGTTTTGCTATTACATTTCCAGTTTAATATTATTATTATTTTTTGTTATTAATTATAGTGTTGTTATTAATATGTTAGATGGATATGAATGTTGAAAATGTGGAATAATGCGGTGATAATCTCACAATTGAAGAAGTGGCTGAAGTTACGAATGATGGAAAATTGTTATGGGATGAGTCACTCATTGAAAATTTCGTGAATATTACGGTGGAAGAAGTTAATGCTAATAATCGTAATGGCACAACATTTAGTAAAAGTGGTTGGAATACTTTGGTCAAAGAAATGAATGTTCAAATAGGGAGAAAATTTTCTTTAACCCAACTTCGGAATAAGTTTAATGGTTTGAGGAAAATTTATATCGAGTTTAAGAAATTATTATCGGAGACTGGCGTAGGATATAACCATGAGACGGGCATGGTTATAGTTGAGGAAGGGAGATGGGACAGGTTGTGCAAGGTTAGTAATTTAATTATTAGTCCTAAATAAAAAATAAAATAATGTATATTATTGGTTATGTGGTTAATATTGTAATAAAATTTGTAGGTTGTTGCGAATGCAAATAAGTTTAAAAGGCATGGATGTAAGCATTTTGACAAGATATCGGCTATATTTAGGGACATATATGCAACATGGATGCATGCCCACCCGTCCACTACAGCACCCCCCGCAATCATTTTGCCCACTCCCAATGATGACGATGATGAGGAAGAGGGTTGTGAGGTCAGTCCCCCACCTTTACGTAAAGGTAAGAAAACCAAAAGAGATGCTTTATCTCCTGGTATAGCTGCACTCTTGTCAAACATGAATGAGAATTCTGAGAGGAGAGACGAGAGAATGGAAGTTGCAATAGAGAAAACAGCTAAAGCATCTTCTACTTCTACTCGTGTATCTTCATGTGAGAAAAGAGATGATGAAGTTCTCTCTCCCTCTAAAAAGGATAGGGATTATGAAATGTTTGACGCCTCCATGCTCCTTTTACAAAAAATACCTGGAATTGAGATGGCCCAATTCGCTAAGGTATCGAAGTTATTACATGATTCTGAGAAGTGGCAGAAATTTTTTCTTTCGGCACCTGAGGATGTAAGAATTGGTTAGGCACTGAATGTTTGAGTTTTTCTTTATGGATGATTGTGTTTTGTGTCATCGTTTAACTTATTATTATCTCACATTTGGATGACTGTAATAACTTAAATACTTTTATTATCTCACATTTGGATTACTGTAATAACTTAAATACTTTTATTTCTTGGATGCCTGTTACTACTCAAATACTTTAATACCATTATTTAAATGTTTGTTTTATTATTTAAATGTTTGTTATATTATTTAAATGTTTTGTTTATTATTGAATTGATTTGCTTATTAACTTAAATGCTTTACTTGTATTAAATCTTTAAATAGGGTAATGGATATGTGTAGGGATGGCAATTTTTACCGCCCCGCCGGGGCTCCGCCCCGTCCCGCCCCGTTAATAACAGGATATGGAAACAAATTTTATACCGTCGGGGCGGGTATGGATACATTTTGTGTACCTGCCGCGGGTCACGGGGCGGGGACGGGTTCTGATTCATATCCGCTCCGCCCCGCCCCGTTATATATAATTCTTTAAATTTTAATATATATATATATATATACACACATATTATAAGTTACTCTATATAAGTTATAACCCTAATGCATAGTAGCAGTGTCTCCACATCCGCAAGTTCACAACATAGGGGTCGGCGCATCTTACCCAAAAACCAAACTCTCGGTCCACTTAGGCAGTTGAGATCGATGATTCATTTGAATCTCTGGTAAGATCTCTTGATTCTCTTCAAGTTTTTCCTGCGTACTTGAGGTTTGGGTGACCTGCGCAACACAAGTTAGAGAGAAGATCTGGGTTTTGTTAATAGAGAAATGTGAGGAGAAAGAGGGTTGTGGTGGTGAATAGTGGTGGGTTTGTCTTCTGACGAAGGAGTAGAGTAGGAGGGAGATTGGTAAGAAGAAAATCCATTTTTTTTAGTCGATTAGTTGTTGTCTAAACTCAATTTACCATTTCACAATTCATGAGAAAGGGAGAGACACTAGCGATGACTTTATTAGTGCTCTTTGAGTCGATTTAGGTTTGTTCTTATTTTTTTAAATTGCTGATTCTACATATAATATTTTGGTACTGATTTTTCTGGGAGTTTGGTTGAAATTTTTTTCTCTTGCTAATTTGATGAATACGCCAAAGGTAAATTGTTTATTTGTTTGTTTGGTTTTTTCTTTTTCATAATTTTCGGTACTATGGAAGACATGGGTAACCGCATATGCCAATGGATTGATATATATGTTATTCCAGTAGTCAAAAAAGGAAGAAAAAAAAATGTTAACAGGGTAGGCGGGGCGGGCACGGGTATTGTCATCTCCCAACGGGGCGGGGATGGACTTGATAATTCAACCCGTCCCGGGGCACCGGGCGGGTATGGATTTGTCACTAAACAGACGGGGCGGGGACGGGTTTAGCCAAACCCGCTCCAAACCCGCCCCGTTGCCATCCCTAGATATGTGGAACAATATAAGAAGAATAATTCAATTATATGACGATGAGGATGACAATGAGAGTGTCTTAATATTTGCTGTTATTTTAGAAAAGCAGAACTTCTATCAAAAGAGCCGTTGTAGGAATTCAATTTTACAAGGGGAAGCGTATGTTATGGAGATTCTAAACGGCCATAGAGAAAGATGCTATGAAAATTTTAGGATGTACCCTGAAGTTTTCAGAACATTGTGTAGTACTCTGAAAGGTATAGGGCTGAGGGATTTTAAATTTTTAACTGTATATGAACAAGTGGCAATCTTTTTGCTCACTTTATCTCATAATCAAAGGAATCGTGTTGTAGCAGAGAGATTTCAACACTCCACTGAAACCATTTCCAGACACTTCCATGCTGTGTTGCATGCAGTATGCCAGTTGGGCACCCATATCATTGCCCCTTGATTTTTTTGTGATTCCGAATAAGACTAGAGGGTCTCCTAGGTTTTACCCTTACTTCAAGCATTGCGTGGTGATGGTGAAGACGATGAGATTATTGAGCATATGTTTCCGGCTCAGCTTTGAGAAATGGATCAGTTGCGTAATACTATTGCTGATCAAATCTGGAATTCTCTTGGGCACTCTTGATCTTCCTGAAACTGATGGTATGTTTTTTCTTTTATATGTAATATATTTGTTGCTATTGTGGGCTTGTAATATGTATATATGTATTATATATCATTTTTGCTGTTATTATTTTGCTTTTACTATTACTGGCTGATATTTGTTAATATTTTTCAAATTAAATTCTACCATTGCAGATATGAAGTGTGTTGATACTCTCTTGAAGGTGATATGTGCTGTCATGAAGATGACGTGTCCTACTATTGAAACTTGTTCCATGGAAGTGAAATTTGTGTTTTTTTAAGTATGTTTCCTGTAAGATCTTTTGAGTTTTTCTGATACCTTCCTAACAGTGAAGGAAAACATAAGGAAACATCTTTTTATTTGTTAAGCATCTTTTTCTTTATTTTTGAATCCTATTGTTGAAATTTGTAAATGAATTGTGTTTGAACTTTGAATTATATATCTTGTTTAATTTAATCTACTGTTTAATTTGTTCTCAATTTCTTTGTCAATTTTCCTAATACAGAAGAATGAATATGATTTGATAAGCTTCCTTGCAAGCTTCCATTCTAGCAGGGTGTTTTTTATTTTTATTTTATGTTATGACTTATTCATAGATGTTTTGTGAAGTTTAACTCCAAATAGATGGATTAGAAATGAAAAAGGTAATCTTAATATCTAAATCATAAGAACACTGTAAAAAGATGGAACTCTACATGTCAAATTATATATATATATATATATATATATATATATATATATATATATATATATATATTTGTGTGTTCAAATTTTAATATATTTATTAAAATATATATATACTATTTATATAGAAATAAATTTATAAATAAATTTAAAATTTATAAAAATAAATTAAAAAGAATGATAACCAAACATATTTTTGGTTTTACCAAACATGTTTTGTTTTCAAAATTCTTGAAACGCATGGCTTACCAAACATGTTTTTCATCTTTCTGTTTCTAACATTTCCAAAACAAAACATCGTTCCCAAATGTACTTCCGATTTTTTCCAAAACACTTCAATAGTAAAAACGCTGTTTCTGTTTTAGCCAAAAACAAAACACCTAAAAACCCTTTACAGTATCCTTGCTAAGAGACCACCTCTCTTAGTTTTACATAGGCCACACCAGCCCTTACAATTTCTTTGCTAAGAGAAACTCTTCCTCCTAGGCTTACAACAAATTTATAGATAGAATTTGTAGTACAAGAAATCCTCTCAAGAACTAATACAAATCAAACCTCACAATAGAATATATATGAAATCAAGTGAAGTTCAAACTCTAAGTATGAAATATATGAGAGATGATGAGGAAAATGTAGAACAAAAGCTCTGATGAAATACTAGAACAAAAGTTCAACAAAGGCTCACTAAATGCTCTCTGAAGTTCACTCTGGTTCAGCTATGGAAGCTTGTATATGAGATGAAGATTGATGTCTGAACAGAGGCTCTATGAGTGAGTAAAACCATAACGAAAGCTCTGTATAAAGGTAGAGCCAAAAGCTCTCTTTGATGCACTTGAATGAATGTTCTTGAATGCTCTCTCAAGTAGTATAATAGAGTTTACTCTATGAAGATTAAAATAAAAGCAAAAGCCCTTTTAATCTTTACTGGAATCTCTCAAGATAGAATAAGAGTGAAATGAGAAAGATGAAGAAAAGATAAGAACAAAAGCTCTCTTTGCAATGTAATATAATGTCTCTTAAAATCATGTATATTATTTACAGACAAGCCCTCTATATATATAAAGAAATTCGTAGCTCAATATAGCTGTTAGAAGTGGTTAGAGGAATTAAATGCAGAAAAATTGCCATTGTAATTCAAAACCCTCAAAGGAGCCGGCTCTTTGTAAAAATGGAGGCGGCTTAATTTCAAATGGAGGCGACTCCATTAAAAAAGTGGAGCATGCTCTTTTTCTAAAATGGAGGCGGCTCAATAAAAAAATGAGTCTTCTCTAGTTTTGTAGAGCCTTCTCTACTTTCCTAAGCCTTCTCTAATTTTGTAGAGCCTTCTCTAGTTTTTCATTGAGCCTTTTCTATTTTTTTGAGCCTTCTCTAATTTTTTATAGAGCCTGCTTCATTGGCCTTGAGAGAGCTGTCTCTATTTCTTATAGAGGCTGCTCTTGCTTCATGAAGGCTGCCGCTAAATTAGATTGGACAGAAAAAAAAAATGCATGACTTCAAATGGACATAACTCAGTCCATGAAACTCCAAATGAGGTGAAATTTAAGTCTAAATTTATTTTCTTGAAGTCAGTTATCTAAACCCACTGGCCTTGCTCAAAAATTCCAACCATAGAAAAAGTTATGGCTGTTTAAGTGCAACTTGGTCAGAATTTTCGCAGAGCAGAATCAAGTATTTTGTGAAGCTTATATCTCAGTCATTTTAAACCCAATTTAGGTGAAATTTGAGTCTAAACTCAAGGGCTCGAAGTCAGATTTCCAATGCCACTGGCCTTGTGTAAAAATTCTAACTACACAAATAGTTATAGCAGTTTTAGTGCAAGCTGGTCTGAAATTTTCTGGGCTGAAAAATGTTTCTTTTGAGATATCCATCTTTCTAGCACCTAGGACTTTGATGAATGATTCAATTTTGTTCAAGGGCTATTTCTAGGAGTCTAGGGACATGAAAATGATAAATTTCAAGTGCATTGTGTCCTAGAGTCATTTACCAAATTTTGGCAACAAAGGCTTTAAAGATGAAAAATTAATTCAATGCCTTTTCTTTTTCTTTTTAGAGACCAAAATAAATATTATGATTAATGTGCATGGTCTTAGTATTTCTAGCTTAAGTTGTGAGTTTTTTCAAAGCTTATGCATGCTTGAACTAACTCATTCTTAGCAAAGACTTCATATGTTAAATATATATGTATTGAAATTCATAGTCTAACGCTAATGATGTTGGAGCATGTAAATGATGTATGATATGCATGGTCCTATAGAGATGAGCTTCAAATGAATTCATAAAGACTTTGACATTGAATCTTAAGCTCTCACCATCCTATCTACCCTTTTCTTCATTCTTTGACCATGATCGTTTAGGCTTGATGAAGACTTTCTTTCTTTCTTTGAAATGTTTTGTGTGATCTTTGAAGTCCGAGTTCTTC